AAAGCTGAGGGTTCTGATGACTCTTGTGAGAGAAAGCATCCATGACATATGGCTGTCCCTCCAGGTGTCCACTGCAATTATGGGCGCAGCCTGAGAGCTGGTAGGGGGAAAAAAAAAAGACCCAAAACAAAACAACCTAAAAGAGCAGTGCAGATGTGCTCATAAATGTTATTGTCATCTGCATTTCAGTGGGGAATGGTGTCAACACAAAATGTGTTGCCACACAAGTGAAAGATTTCCTTGGAGGTGTTTTCCAAGGGATGCTCAGACAGTGACACAACAAGACGTCTCCCTGGTCTTCAGCTTGGTTTTACTTTTAGCTCTCTCTATTAATGGTTTGTTTAGTGAAGGAAAGTCATGGGTGGGGAGGAGGAAGTAGAACAATGGTCTTCCTTCTCCAAGTGAAAGAGCAAAGAAATCTGGGTGGAAGGTAGCTGTGAGTACAAAAGATTTTAGCTTAGAAAGGTACAGAGGGGAAGTGGCAGATACTCACCCACCCTCAGTTTAGATTATTTTGAGCCTCATTTTAGGTGATAAATTGTAAGATTTAACTGTATTTTATCAACAGCTCTGTCCTCTTTAATAGACACTTAGCTTAGGTATTATCTCAACCAGATTCTTCATATCATTCTCCATTATTAGGAGTATTTCTCTCACTTGATTCATCTTCTTTTTTCTTCCATTCCTACTCCTTTATGACATTAATGTATAACATTGTAAAATTCCATGTGAGGCTGGTTTTTTTCCCCCCTTTCTGATAGCATTTCTTCTCTTCCTTGTCTTCCTGATCCAGCCATGGGTCATGTCAGCAAGCAAACATTAAACAATTGAAATGCCCATGGAGTATCGCTGACAAAACAGCCACAAACAGTGTTAAAGAGCTCTGTAGAATGAGTTCCCACTTTAAACCTAATCCTGGGCATACTTCTTGTGCTATAAAGGGTCTTGCTGAGTTCAATGATGTGTTAGGAAGGCTTTCAGATGTCAGAAAGCATTTACTGCTTTCAGTGCCTGCCATAATGTATTGGGGAAAAAAAAATCCCTTGCACCTTTTATTTCTTCATGGCTACAAGAAGTCCACAACAAACCAGTGAGTGGTGACAGTGTTTTACAATATATGTGGAAATAATATTTAAACTGGAATCTAACAGCTTTAAATTAGAACGCTATTTTTTAACAGCTGAAGGAAGTTTAATGAAAAACAGGAAAATAAGCATAAAATAATCAGTGTAGCACATTCTTTTTTAAAACCTCGCATTTGTATTAGCATTTGTGTGGATTCCTGAGCTTCACTAAATTGCTTTTTTTGTTGTTTTTTCTTTTTTCTCTTGATCTACAGAGGACTGGTATTTGGCAGCTTCTGGAACACAGTCACGAGGTTTATATGTGTGGAAGTGAAATGTAACATTCCATGTGGTTTAATATGCTCAGACTGGGTAAACAGTGTGGAGAATAGACTGGTCAGACATTTTTTTAGAATGTACCACATACTTAAAGAATGAACAATAACAGACATAAAGACATAACAGAGATCACAGCATTTCTTATTAATACATTTTATTTAATACAGGAAAAAACAGAGGGTTTTGAAAGCAAGGAGCTTATGGGTGTAAAACATGTTTTGGTACATGGTTTTATTTATGTGTATTTGGTCTATGTGTGAATTTTAATGTTTCCAAGGCCAGAGTTTTTGAAAGGTAAAAATATTTCCAAGGTACTTGAGATCTTTGTTGCAGTAGTACAGACTCTGCCTCTCTACATCCCCTTTATAAACTGCAGAAATAAATAATTTACCTTAGAAAGGGTAGGACAGCAGTGAAGCTTCTATGTCTGTGGCTTTCACTTTTGATGTAAATTTTCAGCATTTTTTTGTTCTCTCCTTCAACTGTTTGAGCATGTAGTCAGGACAGATTCCAGAAGTGAAGCACATGAAAACAGACTTCTATTCTCTGCACTCACATTTGCTAGACTATGCTTGAGCATACCTTTTTTCTATTTTTTTTTTTTTTTTCTGAATAACAGGATTTTTTTGTTTGGTTTCTGGCTTTCTGGTGCAGGTTATTTTATTTTTTTATTATTATTTTTTTTTACATAGCAGCTGTGTTGCAGAGCCCCACTCACATAACAGATTGAGCTGCTGATGTGATTGATGTGAGGTTGCTGAGCATAAGGGATCCCAGGATGGTTTGGGATGGAAGGGACCCCAAAGCACATCCAGTGACATGGCAGGGCCAGCTCCCAGTGTCCCAGGAGCTGCCAGCCCCAATGTCCAGCTGCTCTGGGCACCCTGTGCCAGGGCCTGCCCACCCTGCCAGGGAACAATTGCTGCCCAAGATCCCATCCAGCCCTGCCCTCTGCCACTGGCAGCCATTCCCTGGCTCCTGGCCCTGCAGCCCTTATCCAGAGTTCCTCTCCAGCTCTCTTGGAGCTTGTGTCTGTGGGCTCCTGATGTTTGATAACTACTGAATAGAAGGTGGAAGGTGCTGTTTCCCCTGTTTCCTTCCCTAGCCCTCCACACTCAACTGCTTCAGAAGTTGTGATGTTCCTTAATTCCCCCATTTACTCGTGGAGCCTCTCTAGCCTCACCTGGCCTGCTATGTAGTAATTCCTCAGTGAAAACTGGGATTTAAAAGCAAGAGAACAATTAACTTGGAAACTTTAGCTCAGGAATTCTACCTGCTGGAATGGAACACATTTATTCCGCTCGCTGTTCAGCTTAATCATCTGGCCCATATAATTTCTCGCTGTGTAGGATTGTCTTCCTGCTGAACACACATTAGTTCTTAATGAGGTAACTAATTTTTAAAATTTAAATCATGTGTCAGGCACTGTTCTCCATCAGAGACGGTTCCAAGGCTTGATGTCAGAAGGAGCCTTTTGATTTAGCTCTGAAAAGACTGTCAGGTTGAGAAAATCTGCTTCTGGTCATTTTAATAAAACTGAAGAGAGGATATTATGAATTCTTGTATGACCCTTGACTGTCACCTCACAGACCTTTGACAGAGAGCTGGTAACAAGCCACAGTATTTGTTAGGAGCTTGCACGGGGCTCTGTTCCTTCATTTAGATATCAGTAGCATATCTTCTTCCATTTAAATATCTGTATCATTTCAGATGTCATCTTGTGAGTAACAAATGTGAATATATTTTCTAGCTTTTCTTCCCCCTATTTTTAACCAGCTCATAGTGTGTGTTCTTCTGTGTCCCCACTGCAAATCACATTTGGCTTGTCAAGAAAGTGTTCTTAAAATATTTAAATACTTCAGTGAAAACTTTTCTAGTTAAGTATTTTGATTGCAAGAACAGATTTTAAACTGTTACTGGTATTTAGCATATTTATAGAGTGGGATGGCTGATAACTGATGATGGGTAATTGGGCTGTATATTTTGGCATGGAATGGGACACGATGTGGAATAAATTTTCTAGAGCCAGCTATTTTCGCCTGCTAAGGAGGTAACTATTCTGAATTTCTTAATATTCCACTCAGTGAACTGATGCACATTTTTAAAAATAAATTCAATTAAAATGCATACATATTTTTGTTTGGGAAAGCAGATGAAAACAGTTCTTGGAAATCACAGGGGGATGTGGGAGTGCCTGACCAACCACACCAAGGAAAGGTGCTATTTATGCCCGGGAGGGAAAACACCCAAAAGGAGCTGTAGATCCAAGGTCTACATGTTTGTGTGGGCAGGGGACACTGCACAAGAAATTGAATTCTGTACTTATTCCCCTCTCCTTCTGACTTAGAAACTTTCCTGGAAGAGGCAGCTTTAGTCTGTATGATGATGAAAATGTGTCCAATTTCCTCCATCCTTCTTTCATCCTTCAGGAAGGAGGGCTACAAGCAGAAGGAATATAAAGCTAATGTACAGGTTTATTGGCAGGTCAGCCCTGGGGGAAGAGAGGGGTGGAAGGTGGAGATGAACCGTGTGGGAAGAGAGGGCACAGCTCTTTGTGGTGAGCTCTGAAACAAAGGAAGGGGAAATCAAAACTCTCTTTTTTCCCCAGCTCGTGTTTGATGCAGGAGAACCAAGGGAGAATCCTCCTTATGAGCAGGGAGATGTGGCAGGTCTGCGTGAATGAAATTCCTGCCTTTGGAACTTGCAGGGAAATCGTGCAATAAGGAAAAAAAACCCTTAAAAGAGTTGGAGCTGGGAGAGCTGGGACCAAGCTACTTCTCACGTTTGAGTGGAACAGAGTGGAAGCTAATAGAATATTTCAGTTGTGAGGAATCCACAACCATCATTTACTCCTGTTGCCTTCTTCTTGGCACTTTCCTCCTCCTCCTCTTCCTCTTCCTCTTCCCCCTGCTCCTGCTCATTGTCACTTCTGTGTAACTCAGATAATACTCCTTGCTTAGTGGTAATTCTGTTTCTTTAGTCTTTGTCATAAATAGGGTTAATAACATAAAATATTAAAAACAAAGCATAAAATGCTCTCTCCTACAGTAAAGAGGAGTGTGGCCACACTGGGGATAGATTCCTTCCCACACAGGTCTCATGATGAACAACATTTCCAATAATACTGGAATAGAAACTAAAAAAAAAATAAACAGTATTTGGATATCTGAGGATAGTTTTAACTATTCCTCTGTTAACTTTAAATTTTATTTCTGATAAAAACTGTGATTACTTTCTCTCTGTGCCTGCAGTGGGAATCAGTGTCTGAAAATTCACATTATTATTTGAAAAGGCTTTGAGCTATAGACAAAGGTTGTTTTATTTTCTCCTCCTGAAATGCTGAAGTTAATAGCAAATGCCTTCATACAATTAGCAGATTAATAATCAAGGTTTTTAAGACTACTCAAGATTAGGAATTTATCTCTAGGCTTCTGAAGTTCTCAAATGTAATCAGTTTAATTAGTTAGATGATTCCACCTTGAAGGATGTTAAAAATCATTGAGCATTGGGCTGTTCCTGCTCTCCACTTCAATTTGCTTCTCTTCAGAAGTGAGCTCTCAGTTGAGTGCTTCATTCCCAGTGAGCCACGCAATAATAGTAAATTTTAGAGATTATTTTAATGGTTTTTAAATATAAGTCTAAAGCTAAGGCTTACTCAAATAACCAAATTTATTCATTGAGGAAGATTTTTAACTTGTTCTGTCCCTGGAAGAAAGTGTTTTCTGCTTGTCAGTGTTTTTCAATTTTTCTATCTTTTGGTAAAGTCTGAGTTGATGCCTCTTTCCTGTTCAGCTGCAAAGTATCTAAAAAAAAAAAAAAAAAGCTAAAGGAATATTAAATTTTCAGTTTGGCAAGCACTACAAATGAAGGAAACACAATGTTGTCTGTATGGCCTTTACTTAGCTTACCTTTGTCTTGTGATGTAATAAATGATTCCATGCTGTTTTCTGCTTTAAAAGTGGATATTTTTCTTTATGCCACAAGGCAGTGGTGGATGTTTTTTCACTAAGCAGAGCATCTCCTCATTCAGTAAAAGCTGATTCTTCAGCAGCTCCTTGCATTTATTATTCTACTCATCATGCAATGATCTCAGGAGCAATGCAGAATTCTTTGGAATATGAGAATAGAAGACATCAGTTGTGTTCAGTGATTACAGATACAACCAGACATTTTTGTCCTCCCTTCCTCTCAAAAATGTGAGCATATGTACCTGTTGCTCAAAAAGTGAAACTTTTTTTTTTCAGTTCAGTGATTAAAAAAAAAAATTAAAAAAAATTAGAAGTCCAAACTTACTCTAAATTCTTCCTGGATGTAAATTGATTCATTCTTCCTGGATGGGAATTGATTAAAAGTTTTGGCAGAAGATAAAAGACCTGAAAATAGAGACAGGTATGTGATAAAATATCAGAGTGGATTCAATCATTGTGTTGTGAGTACACATCTAGTTAATTCCCCAAGCTCTTGGACAAGATGGTCTCACTTTAAAGCAGGTAGAAGTACTACTTAATCCAGAGTTTTGGTAAAATGTGGGTTTTTTTGTCATGTTTTATTGCCTTAGGTTTATACCTAGGTTCAAAAAGCAGTACAGACATACTCAAACAAGAAAAGTCTCTAACTGTAAATTGGTGGAAACTCAGAGTGTACAAGTACTGGGTTGCCTTTCACTGATTTTGTAAACCTCTGCTCTAAACTGCTGTTGATTCTGATGAGAGCTTCTTTCAGCCCAATACCGAGCCCCATTCCACCTGAGCAGTGATTTTTCAGCTCCATCAAGAAATGCTTCTCAAACTGCCCTTCAGACCACTCTGTGCAATTCTGGTTGTCAGACTGGGACAATACCTGCCCAGAGCTCAAACCTGCATGAAGCTGGGCTTCTTTTCCCTGTTATTTATCTCAGAGTTGTGGCTCCAAACCCATTTGCCTTGTAATCACAGCAGAGTTAGGCTTTATTTATTGCACACTACTCAAAACCTGCTCCTGGAATAGAATGATTAATTTCCTTGCAGGCCTCATCAGTGTTTATCTCTGTAAAAGTCTTTTTGCAAGCTTCCTGAATGTGTCTGAAAATATTTACACCCAGGTAATTGCACCTGCTGGAGAAGGAAACTGAGGCAGGGCAAGCTGGCTGCCTGATATTATCACAGCATTCCACTTCTTTAAGGAGAGTTTTAAAAGTTCAGCTAACAGAGCTAACATTTACTGCAGGGGATTCACATTCTCATCAGTCTTGTCTGTAACATCTGGAGTTCACAAAATGAGCATCACAGGTAGCAACCCTTAAAGAGCATTCTGGGTGGAAGACAAGGTAACTCTGGGGTTCAATTCCACTGTTTTAACCATGAGATATTTTTTTTCCTTTTCCTGTAATTATCTGAGCCAATAATTTTGTATCATGTGGCACTTCCAGTAAATATAAACCCAGTGGTATCTCCAATATCTTTCACCACCGATTCATGACGTTGGCTTTCTGAATTAAGTGTTTTGCTGACCAAAATGGAGGAAAAAAGTTCCCCCTCCAAACTGAAAATGGGGTCTTTGTTTCCTGTAATAATACATTCTGTGGTTTTGGAGTGTTTTTTCACTTTGCTAAGGAAACCACAGCAATCACATTTCAAAAAGAAATCTTGTTTCAGGATACAAATTGGAAATACTTATGTCATCTTGAAAACATTAAGATTTTTCCTCAGGGAGTCCAAATTCTTATTGAAGTTCAATTGTAATAGACAATTTTCAGCCCATTCTGTTTTGCCTTGAGTAGTAATCTATTGCAGTATAACTCAGCCTGCTCAGCTATGATGCACAGGAGCTCCAGTTTGTGTTTTCACCATGAATTAACAAATCATATTCTCACTCACCTCACTGGCATAGATGATTACAAGGTTTTCCTTCATTTAAATACTGTCTGAAGTAGAAAACCTGGAAGACCTCTGTCCAACAGAAAGCAAGGTTCTGTGGTTGTGAATGAGTGGTTGACCAGGACAAAGACAACAGGAAGGAAGTTATAAACAAAGATTTATCACATATCATTGCAGAGCTGTTGTTGGTACAGACATTGGGGGTCCTTTCCTCTCTTCATTTTCACATTCAGGTGATTTAGAGATGGAGAATAATTGGCACAACTTCCTGGTAAGTGCTTCTGCATTTCAGACTTTGCAAACAAGAACTTGTTCTTGTCAGGACACTGCATCAAGCCACAGCACCTTATCCCTGATGCAGGTTCTGCTTCCTTCCATGTGCATCTGAGACTTTTCCTATTAATAATCTGGACTGACTTCCTTTTAAAAGTATTAACTATCAGTACTTTCTTGGCAGAAACCCATAGTTTTTCCAAGTGTTTCCACTGACAGATAGAATCAGCCTTTGGGTTAATGCTGGTAATGTTTGTTACCCACAACTTTTAAATCTATTATTATTATTACTATTATTACTTATTTGATTGCTGCCTACCCCATATTTTATAGGGTGTTTCCTTCTGTTTCCCTAAGATATCTCTGTCAAGAACTCCACACCTGAGGTGAGAATTGTCTCGAGACTCTCTAATTTTGTGGTATTTTTTTATCTTTTTTTTTTGGAGATGTTGAAACACCTTGGTTGTTCACCAGCTTCCAGATTCAGTGTGTACCAGCACAACAACTCCAGGAGGGCAGCATGAAAATTCCTCACTTTTCAGGCTTTTAATTTGCTTTTTGGTTGCAACAAATGACAAAAAACCCCACAAAATCCTGCTGCAAAGGGCAGAGCTCCACCCAGGTCTTGTACGTGGAAGGCAGTTTGTGTTGATTTGTCTAATGAATGAGAGAGAAATTTTTAATTTACCTTTCCACTTGCCCAAGCTGGCAGAATTTCTGGGTGTTTTGGTTTCATAGAGGCTGTGATCTCCACACATACTTTTCTGGTATCTGATACCAGAAAACAGGTTATACACATTTGGATTATTTGATGGTGAGTTAGCAGGAAGAGTAAAAGGGTATTAAAATCTTACACTCTTTTATGTGACAAAGCCTTAGAGGAGGATTTTGGAAATCCCTGTCATAATGTTTCTGCCCATATCAAACAGCTCTAGTAATCTAAATCCAGAAATAAGAATTTATATCTTGCAGCATTCTTGCTTTCACATAGATATTCACACTCATTTCTTCTACTTAATAGTACCAGAAAGTAATAAACTCCTGCTTTTCAACAGAGAGGAAATAACCCACGTTTTCCATCCAGTGGTGAGAAGGGGAGATACTGGAAGAACCAAGCTGGTTGAAGGGTGCTGAGGGATTGGAATCTGTGGACTCGGATTCTTTACAGACAAGGACTTCTCACATGCTTTTATTCAGGGCATCAGCAAGAAAAGCTGATAGAAACACCAGTAAAAGCACAAATTCAGTGAAATTACTTTGGCATTTCTATCTCCAACCTATTATGTTAAATTCTACTGCATATTTTGCATTTATTTTTATGTTATCAAATGTCATGGTGCTACAATACGATTAACAAAACCAAGTAGTAAAACCTGTTTTTCTGTGTTCACATAACCATACACTTCTGCTTCATCTGCTAAAAAAATAAAGTTATCCCAGAAACTCACGACAGCAAATATTTATCTTAGCATCAAGATAAACATGAGAGGAAGAGCACAGAGAATAAGGAAAGGCTGTTGTGTGTCTCATCATGCTGAGGAGTTCTCTGCACATTAACTTGTATAGCAATATCTCTTACAGATTAACATACAAATATTGCCCAGTCATGGAGTTATCTGTTACAATTAAACTTATGATGGATGTGCCAGTGTGGACAAACTGCAAGCTGCAGCAGTGGGTATGATGAGTTATCTCTGAAAAGTGAATGCAGTGAAAATTTCAGGGAGGTGATGCACTGTGAAGAAAAGAAAATGATATTTAGATAAAGTAATCATGGGAGAGTCTGTCTGGTTCATGAGTAAGTGCCAATCAATCCCCTGTTCTGCTCTCAGGTGGCAATTCAGAGTGTTGCCATGGCTGTCAGCCACTCAGGTGTAGCATGTACTCCTCTGTCTCACTAATTTCCAAGGGATGCAGGGAGGTTCTGAAATGATAATTGAAATATGTATGACAATCCAAGAAGGATCTCTGCTGAGGAGGTGCCACTTTTGGAATGAAACCAGGATTAATTTACTCTCTTTGACTAGTGCAAGAGTCAGGATTGAAAGGATTTCTTGTATATTCAGGTACTGCCACCACTACCACCAAAAATTTGCTACACTCAAAAAAGAAAAGGTATGAAGAACATAGGGGAAAAAAATATCATTTGCTTAGAGAGACAGAAAATAGGAAAAACCAGTAAATATCTGGAAGCTCGAGGTGTAGTGTCCAATATAGATTTTGTGATAACCTCTAAGGCAGAGGACAAGTCTTCCTTTACAAATGTACTCCTTTCTAAAAAAAACCCAGCAGGCAAGAGAAGAACAAGTAATCTGAGGGGAAAAAAAGCTATGAAAGCATTTTTCTTTCCTCCAAGGATTTTGCTACTGTCTGTCTCTCTGTAAAGATTCAGTCATGGGGATGGAGAGATCTTACTCTGCACTCAATATTCCTTTTTTTTAACCTGCCCTACTGGGATTTTTTTTTTCCCTCATCACTTTGTCTCTGGTGACAGGAATTGCTGAGACAGAAACATGAGAATGACCACAGTGGCTTGTTGCTGTTTATTTGAAACCAGGTTACCTTGCAAATACCCTCTCTATTCCATATTTTATGTCCTTTCTCCCTGTGCCTGCCAGTCCCACCCAGTAATCCATGAAGAGGGAGAGCAGGAAGCGAGGAAGTAATCTGCTTGGGGATATCAGCAGGAATGGGTGTGAATGCTTGTTTACTCTCCTAAATGGCAGGTCTGGGTGGTTTAGTGTTTCATCTACTATGTGGACCACTGTGTAGAGATTTTGGAGCTTGTCAAGGAATGTGGCAGAATGAGTGGGAATGGGAACAGGCAATGTTGTACGACACTAATGACTACCAAGTCTGTTTCCATTTCACATCTTGGGACTCTAAAACAACAAGGTTCCAGAGATCTGAGAAGTGCTCAGAGAAAATTTTATTTAAATCTCCTTTTTTAAAATCATTTTTTCCATCTGCCCTTAATGAATTTTTTCATTGCACAGAACCGAGGATATGCATTGAATCCAGAAGCATTTTCTCACAATATCAACATTCAATTCATGCATTTATAAAAAGCAGATGTTTCAGAGTAAGTTTGCATTGTTGAATAGCCAGCAGTGATTAAACTATCACAGTAAGTTGTCAGGAGGAAATACTCATATGACAAGCAGTGAGCTATCCATGCTGGGTGCAAGTACACAGTTTTGATCACCACAAGTCAGAGCCTAAATTTCTGAAAGAGATATCTTAATACTAAAATCAAGGCTTAAGTGTCCTGGAAGACACATTTTGGGAGACAATCAGCTTATTGCCAGTGCTGGAAAGTGATGTGATAACAATGCGTAAGAGTCCAGAACCTATTAAGACAAGGTTAAGTGATAATAGCAAGACCCCTTTTATGATTTGAACATATCCATTTTCTTAAATGTTATCTTACTTTCATCTGCTAATGCATGAGAAAGTTGTAATTAATGTTCCCATTCTCCACAACAAATATTTGTTACCAGGAGTAGCTAAAAACCGCAAAGATCAGCTCCTGAGCCCAGAATTGTCTAATCCATGGCTCTGTCTTTAATTTACATCCCAAAAACGTAAGATTTACATCCCACAAGCCTATTCAGCCTTGTGTAGTTCCCTTTTTTCCTCAGTCTGGTGGAAATCTCTTACTGGTTTGCTGTGAGCATCTGTTGGTACACAGCGATACTCTTTCAGCTGTTTGCTAGACAGCTCTTAAAATGGAAACTGGATCTCCCAGAAGGCACAATCAGCAGAGATAGCAAAATATAATCTATTTAAGTATGTAATCAAATTTTTACCTGAAATAGACTGCAGCTTCTTGGAAAATGGGTATTGTTCTCATTCAAATTTTGATGACCGTGGAAATGAATCCACATCACTAATATTTGTATAACTTTATATCTGAGAAAAAAAAAAAAATAAAAAAAATTAGGGGAGCTTAAATACCCTGCCAGTTTGGATTATGCATCTTGAAGTAGGTAACGCAGATTGGTTGTGTGTGGAAATTTTTAAAAATAAAAAATTTGTGCTTCTTACCGACCTGCCAATTGAAGATTTTTAGAATTGAATAAAGAGAACAACCCGGGGAGCCTGTGTGAGGGAACGGGCAGAGGTGAGGGAGGGGATCCTGCCCCTCTGCCCCGGCCAGCTGAGGCTCCTGTGCAGCGCTGCCTCCAGCCCCGGGCTCCTCAGGCCAGCAGAGCCCAGGAGCTGCCGCCCAGGGCCCAGGGGAGGCCGCACACAGCATTTGGGCTCTGCAGCGGCTCCAGAGGCTGCGGGAGCCGGGCCCGGCCAGGCCGGAGAAGGGAAGGCCCAGAGGGGATCCCGTGGATCCACACAAACATCTCCGAGGGCTGCCAGAGGATGGGGCCGGGCTCTGCCGGGCGCTGCCGAGAATAAAATAAAGGGCAGCGAGCGGCAGCCCGGCAGGAGGAAGAACTTGTGTCCATGGAGGGGCAGAGGCCTGGAACAGCTGCCCAGGGAGGGCCTGGAGTGTCCCTGTGTGGAGCCATGGCAGCCCCAGCTGGGCACGGCCTGGGCTGAGGGAGCTCCACAGGAACATGCCAAACTATTCTGAAATTCTTGTAATCTGTAAATTCAGGTTTTCAGCCTTGTGAAATGCAGTCTGACAAACCTGAAGGTATCTGGGGGTATTCCGAACAGGGCTTGTTGCCCTTGCATATCTCCACACCCTTAAGAATGTTCTTTCCTGTGGTTTACAGCCCTTGCACCCTGGTTTGTCCGATCACGTCTTGCACTTTCTACAGTGTTTTAATTGATTACTCATTTTTTTCTTACCACTCATCCTGTGGGGGAGGCTTTGTGGACATTTTTTCCTGTTTTCACATGGGACTGGTATTTCTGATATAAGTGACAGTGAGACCAAGGAAGAGTAAATGATTCCATGATCAAGTATTGGACTTCTGCCCCTTCTTCACTGGGTGTGATGTGGACTAACTCTCTTCTCTCTAAAATCTTTTCTCCCAAAAGGACTGTGGAGTGCACTCTGGACAGCTGCTTTTTTCTCCTGGAGACAGAAATTCTATAAAATTGGCTTACTTTCATGTCAGGAGAAGCATTTCTTTCAAATATGTCCTTAACTGTAGTGAAACAAGATGATTAGGAGGAAAAGGGTGAGGGAGATGTGAATCTGCTATCAGTGTAATTCAAAAGAAAGGGCCATGGCAGAGAAACTTTTTGCTTGTAAAAATGGTTTATCTGTGCAGATATTCTTACGTTCCTACAATGGTTTTGCAACTTTATTTCCTCTCCACTAATTGTTACTCTATTACTATTATTATTACTCTGTTTGTCTGCTCTTGACTGTTGCATACCTGAGGAATTCATGACATATTAATGTCCCCAATGCAGCAATAATTTTATCTAAGTTCAGTTTTAGACTGTTTTCTGCTTGTATCCTCATGTTTGTGTGCCTTCTTGCAAATAAAAGACGGAAAGAGTGAAGTTAAATAGCAAGCTGCTTGCTTTGTGTCCATCTATGCTTTGACAAATCACCTGAAGACTATTTTGAGAGGTAGAAACACTGAAAAATATTTTATTGACAGCACTGACAAAAATAACATTTCAGTGGAGGAAGTATAATTTATTTCTTGGTTTTATAGTAAATAGTTCCTCTAGCAAGTCCTGCCATCTCAGTTCTGTTCCTGGATGTATGGCTTGGGGTTTTTGTGCAGTGAGTCAGGTATTTGTATCCTGTTGTTGTTACAAGGTAGAAAATGTTAGACACACAATATAATCATCAAATAAATGGATTTTTGTAGCGATTTTTCAGATTGCAGCACCTGAAGGCTTATTTTGACTGGTAAGAATATCTCTGAAAAGTCAAAGCAATGTTGCCAATGTGGAGTGACACAGCTCTAAATCTACTCTCTTGAGAAGGTCAGAAATCTCAGAATTCTATCAAGTAGGATTTTTTTTTTTTTTTTTTTTTTTTTTTTGAGAGAGAGAGATACAGGCATTTATTTTGAATCTAAGAGTTTTGCTCATATTGCAATGACCTTTGTGAGTTTCTGTTAGTAAAAGGAGTCTGGCTTTACTTGTGCAGGCACACTCTTCTGTAGAAGCTATTTAAAAAATACCTGAGACTGAAATCTAGGCAAGCCAATGTGAGGTTTAAATGGGAAATAATTAATTTTAGAAACATTTCAGTAAGGCAGTGACAACAAAATAATTAAAACTGTACTGCTAAGCCACCAGACCTACTGACCTTCTCACCAGCAATTTTTGGCCATGAAAGAGGAAGAGCAGGTTGATTTGTCTGAGGTAAGGTTGTGATTTATTTCTGTAGTGTAACTATCCTCAGGCTCAGTCTTTCCTGAATTAGAGCTGTTACCACCACCTAAATCTTGATATACCCCTGAAAAATGAATAGGTCAAATAAGGACTTAGTAGGAATTGCATTTTAGAAAATGTGAGGTTTTCTCCACCTAGGTAAAATGACAGTGTGTGTACATTTTGGGGATCCTTGTCTGTTTTTAGAGGTGAGAAGTGGACACAGAATACAATTCAGCTGAGTATCTGCTAATTAAGCTGATTTATGCAAGCCTGGAAAGCTCCTAGGGAGTAGCTGGTTAGAAGTTGTGGAAAACTAAAAATAGAGAAGTGAGTCCAATCTCATATATTTAATGTATTTGGATGAGGACATTGGTTCTGTGGAACTTGTGAATTTTGATTAAAGAATATTAATACTGCACCTCTACTTGAATTTTCCAAGCTTGTACAAATACATTCAAAGCATGTAACAGCAGTATATTTTATATGCTAACATTTGTATGTTAGCTGGGAATCAGTGCTGTATGGATTTTAAAAAATCTATCTCTACAACCATTTCTTATAATGGCTGAATTTTATTTAAAATACAGGTTTTCACATTAAAGTAACAAGAAAACTGCTTAGTCAAGACTAAATCCTCCTTTGATTTGGTCTTGCAAGCACCCAAAAAGCTGTGCCCAAGCTTTTATGATGGATTGGGTTGTAATTTTCACTAATTCTTTCTCACTGTTTTCCAGAGTATTCTCAGTGGAATCTAGTTACCTACCAAAACAGAAAAATATCCCAAATGTAGTTTATTGATAGGTAATGTATTTTGTTCTGCTTAATGACCACAAAATAGGAAATGCTTCATTTGCCATTAAAGGAGATGGACAACATCAGGTAGTTCAATACATTTCTGTGAAAACAGATAGCATTTTGTTTTCTCTGTTTCAATGCTGTTAGATATCTAATTTTTTTTTTTAATTGAGGTAATCAATATTTATATAATTCATCTGCATCTCAGACAATATTTAGATCTTCAGTTACTTAACCTTTTACATATTTTTATTTCTTATGCAGCACATTCACACTCTAAAAAGTGGCAATTAATCTCTAGTACAAAACAACTTATACAGCTTACATATTCAATATTTGCTGAGCACCTGGGACATAATTTCACATTATGCTTGTCTGCAGGTATGCAACTGCCCTAAGTGAGTTGCACAAATGAATTTGGGGCAGATACTTCAATAAATGTTAGTTTTCTAATTGAAAAAAAAATGAAAAAGAATTGAATCAAGGAAATGTTTGTTTTGTTTCACTGTGGATATGACATTGTAGGTGTTCAAGGACTTGGTGCAATTCATAGAATCAAAGAATTATAGAATGATTTGGGCTGGAAGAGACCTTAAAGCTCATCTGGTGCCACCCCTACCATGGGCAGGGACACCTCCCACTGTCCCAGGATGTTCCAAACTCCATCCAACCTGGCCTTGGACACTTCATTTTTTGTATATTGAGAACTAAGTAATTCTTAAAGGCTCACAGAACCTCATGGCCATTACCTGCTCAGAGTAAATGATGTTTTTTCAAGTCAGACTATCACAGGTGGGTTGCTGGATGCAGCACTCATCAACATGGGGTTTTCTGCCAGGGGGCTTTGTGCAAATTGTCAGATTTACTCTCAGTTCTGGAAAAAGGGTTTTGCTAAATAATGAAATTTCTAACACAAAAAAAAAAAAGAAAAAAAAAGATAAAAAGGAAATAAATATAAACTACAGTAGAAAAATCAGTTGAATTTTGCAGGTGTTCTTGGTTGCAAAATTTATTTGAGGGCAGAGCACAGACAAGCAATTAGCTGTAAACATTACAGCAAAGACTTTTGAGGTCAGGTGAGATTCATAACACCTCAATGTCATGTGGAGGGAACTCTGCCTGAAATCCAGGCTGCTTTAAAGGAAATTCTTGTAGCTCAAAGAGTCATTATTGCAGGTGGGACCCCTGATACCATTTCATATTTGTTTTCCTGCATGTTTTCCTAATTCCACCAAGTGATAATTGTTCTTAGCTCAGCCAGAAAGCAGCTCTTAAATGGAATGTAATATTTCAGGCTGAGCTCAGAGAATTTGAAGCAATGCCAGATTCTAGAATTTAGGAGGCTCTCCTTTGTGGAAAATTCCTCACAAACAATATTACACATGTAAAGTTTTGCTGGGTGAGTACTCACTTCTGTGGCAACCCCATTAAAATTTCCTCATGAACCACCTGAAGAGGAGGGTGAGGTCAGGAAGTCAGTCATGATCCTTGGGCATCCAGATCTGTATTAAATAATGTTCTTTTAGATGTTGTGGTAGCACAGAACTCTGTCTCACTTCCTCATCTTCCACAAATATATTTCATGTCTTGAAAGAATTATGGAAGTTTTTAGATTAACTTCAGTAAATGCAGTTCTCCCTTCACTGAATTTCAGAACAATGATCCTCAGCAGCTATTTCCTGAGTTTCTTTAAACTGCTTAAATCCATGCTTTGGTGAGAGTTTCAAAGGCATGACGAGATATTTTAATGAGAAAATCTTCATGTTTGTATAGTTTTCATTTTAATGGCAAGTGGCCCAGACAAAAATAGCAAAAATCAATGGATGACATCTTTGGATTCTCTTTTGTTGTGGCATGCAAAGTCCTGATGTTCTGACTGTGGCAAAATTTTTCATTCTCTTGGGTAATGTCACATGAATGTAGCCGTGTGGATTTTGCATTTTGGATGTCTTTTTTATTGGTTTATTTTGTTGTTTTGTTGGTTTTTTTTTTTAATTTGGCTTATTTTCTTAGGTTTGTTTTTTGTTTTCTTTGGAAGACACTTTACTAATGAATTGATATTAATTGCCAATTAGTAAGGGGAGTTCTTTAGAAGGTATTTAGTCCAGCACACTTGCATGCTCCATTTATATTCCTGTCAGCCTGTGGAGGTCTTCATCTTGCATAAATAACCCAAGAATCTGTACAGCAGGCATTTCAAAATAAATGCTGTATCATAGCATGAATATACTGTACCTGTACTTGTGATTAAGATAACTTCATAATTAAAGACACAGATCCCTGAAATTCACCACAATAAAACGGTTTTGTGAGGGGGAAGAGACAAACCCCAAAGCAAGTTGGCAAAAATTAGAATGGATTATACCAGTCTGATTGAAATGTCTGGTGCACAATCATAAAATCCAGTCTGCAAGTTTGAAGCCCCATCAAAACCTCATTAGCTTTAATGAGACTTATAATATGCATTCGAGGAGACAGATTGTAAGGTTGAGGCTCAAATTAATACAGAGTTGTTGTATGACAACTTACTAATAACATTAATCTTTCTATGACCTGTTCTGGCAGGGTATTTTGTGAAAAAGACAAGACTTCAATTTTATTTTATTTTATTTTATTTTATTTTATTTTATTTTATTTTATTTTATTTTATTTTATTTTATTTTATTTTATTTTATTTTATTTTATTCTGATTGACTAGGAGTCAGATTAACTTCTGGGGGGTTGTGTTTTATTTGTGTCTGTCTGTCCAAATTACATTCTGTGTGCTCCTAAGTAGATTCAAATAGCATGGTATAATTGTAATATTATAATTTTCCTCTCAGAAACTCTCGTAATATTTGCTGAATAATTATGAACTCTACACAATCAATCCCAAGGGGTCCTGTGTAGATTTAGAGTGAAATCAAATATGGGCCCTACAAAGATCATCCTTATATGACTTAGAAGTCAGGATGCGATCATCTTGATTCTCCCAGTTTTTCCTTAGAGTTTTGTTTTGGCCAATTTTGGAGCCCTCTGCTTCAAAATAAGAAGTGCTAACTTGAGGAACCAACCAGTAGGACTGTAAATTATTTAATTTTATTTAATCTCCTTTATTTTTTATTCCTATTTTTTTTATTATTATGATTATTCTCACCCCATTTTTTTTTTTCCTAATCATTGACTGCAATGTTGAAGCATTCTTGGATCTGAGGAGAGAAATTACATTCTGGTAGCATGTTTTCTTTCTTCCACCCTTCTGAGTTTTGGTAACATATTGGTATTGCATATTTCATGGGGCCTCTAAATTTAAAAAAAAAAATTGTTTTAAAAAAATAAAATTAATTGCTTTATTTTTTTTGTGAAGTAATTATTAAGA